GGGTAGAAGAAGAATTTTAAATGTAATAATAATTTCGGTAATGTTCGATATATTTTCTTCCCCCCCTCCCCAAAAGAGGCACAAACTCGGGTTTCTCACTCCCCCCACCCCTCCGGGCTCAATTCAGATACAATGTTTAAATAATTGTAAGGTATGATGATCATTGACGACGGTAATTCTTTTCATAAGAAGAGAATTTGGAAATATAAAGCAGTTGCCCTGTTTCACTTCGCACAGAGACATCGGTCCGTATGCCACGTCTTCGTATTCATGCGACTCAACATGGCAGGGCCTGTTAGAATCCTACAGATTCGTTTCGCTTTTATGACTTCTTTCCGAACAACCTCATGGCCACGCTAGTGAACCTCTCATTTGATGAATATTATTCACATGGAGGAAGTTTCATATTCCTGTAAGTAAAAAGTAAGTAAAGTTATCCCTGTAACAGGCCGTGAAGGCCCATAGGGTTGTGAGACGTTAAGAGTCCCACGTTACCTTGACAGTCGGCTCAAAGATGGCGGCGAGGTTGTCAGCCTTACGCGCCGGCCGCGCTTTACTCTCCAGGAAAATCATTTAATTAATTTCAGTTGACCTAATCCTTCCGGCCGCACTAGGCCCTGGGGTTTCATATTCCTGTACAAAAAAAAAACTATTAGAAGTACAAACGCGATGATTTCATTCACTCGGACATTTAATTAAAAACCAATTGCATTGTGTTAGACTACACCTATAATTTGGATTATCTTATTACTTGCTTATGGAGTTGAGCCATTCTTGAGAAGCCAAATCTGCAGCTACTCAAGAATTTCCCAGTATTTTATGACACCCGAAGGTTCAATACCGTGTTCACAAGAGCCCTCCACTGGTCCCTATCCTGAGCCAGATCAGTCCAATCCATACCATCCCATCCTATCTCTCTAAGATCCATTTAAATATTGTCCACCCACCTACGCCTTGGTCTTCCCAGTGGTCTATTTCCTTCTGGCTTTCCCACCAATATCATACATGCATTCCTCTTCTCCACCATTGGATTATCCTATATAATACATAAAATAATGATGATGGAAGCATTGAACAAAATACTTATTAGTTTAGAGGATGTGTTCTACATAATTATGGCATATAGCCTGCCCACAATGCCCACACGGGCCATACGCAGATGTCAGGTTTCGCTTTGTTCAGTTACGGCTCATCTGGGGATACAGGTTTTCTTCCAGGTTCCAGTGTGCAAGTGTAACTCTGGGAATCGTGGATTTATGAGACCTGCTTTCATGTATGGCACCACATGTTTCGAACCAAGGACTTTAGAAAGGTCCCTTATTTGAAGTGTTACATGGAAACATGTTATCATTAACAGCGGCATTGTGTAATAGACCTGTAGAAGAAATGTCTGGGGTGTAGGTCTAAATATATCTAGCACTCAGTTTGAAGTTGAAAGAAACAGGCTCATGAATTGAAGCCGTGGAGCTGAATCATCCGTGACAGATCAATAATTGAGCTCAGCTACACAAACTGCAGCCAATTTCAGAACCACACGGTTCATTACCCCCCTCCAGTGGTCCCAGTCTGGAGCCAGGTGAATCATATCCGTAACTTTTCATCTCATTTACTCAATATACATTTTAATATTATCATTCCATATAAACCCAAGTCTTCCTAGTGGTCTCTTTCCTTTGGTTTTCCTATCGAAATATTGTATGCACTACTAGCTACCATAGAGCCTGGATAGCGACTGGCTGCGGGCTGGACGACCGAGGGGTTGGCGTTGGAGTTAAGAATTTTCTCTTCTCCACGTTGTCCAGACCGGCTCTGGGAGCCACCCACGTTCCTATCCAATGGGTACCGGGCGTGAAGCTGACCGCTCAGTTCCGTCCAGTGTCGAGGTCAAGAAAACGTGGATCTGTACATCCACTCCCCCATACGCCTTCATGGGGTAGTGCTTAATTAGTTAAGCACAGGGACAGCTTTACCTTACCTTTTATCTACTAGCTGCCATTTCGCGCTATATGCTATGCCAGTCTCATCCTGGGCTTCAACATTCCAATAATATTTAGCGGGAAGTACGAGTATAAATTATAAAACCCTTCGTAATGCAAGTGTTTCCAGCCTCCTGTTACTTCATTCGACATAGGTCCATACATTCGCCTCAGTCGCTGTTCTCAAATGCCGTCATTTATGCTTTTCCCATAATGTGAAAGATCAGGTCTCACACAAAATTACAATTCTATATGTTTTACACCTTCAGTAGCAATCAAGGAAATGAAACGTTCAGAACTAAACGGTAACAGATATTTCCCGCGGGGTAGCATAGTCAGTATAGGGAGTGACTACGGGCTAGACGACCGAGGGGTCGGAGTTCGAGACCCACTAGGGTCAGGAATTTTCTCTTCTCTAAATCGTTCAGACCGGCCCTGGTGTCAACCCAAACTATCCAATCGGTACCGGGGGCGCTTTCCTCGGGATTAAAGCGGCCGGGGCATGAAGCTGACCACTTACCTCGAGCTAGTGCCGAGGTCAAGGAAATGTGGCTCTATACATCCACTCCTCCATACACCTTCATGGCGTAAAGCTTGAATTTGCTGAGCACAGGGACAAGTTTTACCATTTTACCTTACCTTGACGTTGTCATGAATACAGTTTGGATTTGTTAGTGTCTTCCACAAATATTTGAACTTCGCCTCATTATCTTCCCATCGCAGGTCAGATCGTGTGGATTCATGGTGGACAAGCGAGAGCGAAGCGTGTTTTCTCAAGAGTACTGCGGATTCCTATGCTTTCTCATTTCACCAACTGTTCCATGTTCATTAATCATCCTATTATCGACGCTGTATACTGTCGATACTGACAGCGTCGTTAAATAGCAAACTTAAAAATATCACAGGATTAATTATCAGATATGATTTTTCTCTCAACGTACGTATAGTATAGCATAATATAGTATAAGCATATTCTTAGTTTCTTTTTTATTTTCTTACGTAAAAACATTGTTGCTAGCGTCTAATAGGGCTCTTGGTCTTTTATAAAGATATTTGTTCCTCTAGTAGACTCTTGTGCTCCATTCAAATTGAATCTTATCCAGTTTTCCTTGAACTTCGTAATGGCTAATTCCAAAGCAAAGTCAATTAAATAGGCATGAATCTTAGTATTCTTTGATGCTGACACTCCTGCACTGAGAGGTCGGAAATTAAAGAAAAATAGCTCTGTTTCTATAATATTACAAACCATTACCGAATGTAATTGCGAAATTTCATTTATAATATTTTTGCGAAAACACTTTGAAACGAATTCATACATTCTAAAGACGATAGTAAATAACTGCTTTAAGAAAAGAATTTTATTAACCGGCTTTATTCAAATCTAAATTTTGAGTTTGTTTATGATGATGGTCTTCGGGGATGTAACGCTGTACTCGTGTCAAACAAAACGGCATCACATCGCAGGGGACCGTAGTGTTAATATTCATCGCCGTGAGAAATTCAGGACTCTTATATGTTTATTACTTCGATATTTCCATTTACCATTTTGTACTATTTCTAACATCAGTAGCAGAAGATTACCAGTTACTAAAGTATGAATGTATACAAAATTGAGGGAGTACAGAACTTTATTCTGAAGTATTTCGTCAACAACCTGCATGACATGTTAGTCGTCTTCCAGACATGATTACACAGCTTAGAGAGGGGGCTCGAAAGGGTTTTGTAGGGATAACGTGCCATACCGAAATTGATAAAAATCAAAGGTAATGTTAGATAACGCCCGCAACAATAGGAAAACGGTGTTATGAAATCAACTTCCAAGCACCGAATCGGTGAACACGCCCACAGTAAGGGTACTGTTGAAAACGGCATTTGCATTCGATCAGTGGCAAGTAGTTAATAAGGAAGAGTCAGTTGAGAATGGGCAGTCGAGTTCCGGAGTTCGAAGTGAGCAACTAGTCAAGAGTTGGGCTCTGCAAGGGAGGGTATGATGTTGGCGCCAGGTGTGGAGTGTTAACCAGTGGGCCACAGAAACTGAAAATCTCCTCTGTGTTAAATCTGTTGCAAAAAACGGCTAGTGTATATGGCATAGACTGAGGACAGTAGTCTTTGTGTGTCAGTGAAATGCAAATTGTAGTTCTGAGTGGTGTATAGAAGTGGTCAATAAATCCAGTTCATCCAGTCCATACCCCATCTATACTCACACCCATAAATCTTGACAATATGTTGGAAACAAACGTATATTCTGAAGTTTCATATCAGGTAGTGTAAAAATTGGTCACTTTAACTAAGCATTCTTTGTGAGCTGTCATTAATGATGGTACTACCTCTTATTCTAGATCCATATTTTCTTGGCCTCATCACTAGCTGAAGATGAGTGCTCAGCTTCATGCCTGTGCCACTTCACAACAGGGGAAAGACCCCCGCCCCCCGGTACCCATTGAGTAGGAGGCTGGTTGGGCCCACAGCCAGTATGGATGACTTGGAAAGGAGAAAATTCTTGACCTTATCAGGACTCAAAACTCCCAACTGCTCGGTCATCCAGCCTATAGCCAGTCACTATACCAACTGTACTGTGGATCCATATATCCACTCCTTCATATGGTTTCATGGTGTAGTGTTTAATTACTTAAGCACAGGGGACAGCTTTATTTTCTTACTACCTCTTATTCCACAGCAAACATATTGTCACGTGTTGGGTGTATAACGCGACAAATAAGTCCTGTCATTGCTCCCAGTCAGGCTAAGACTATGATAAAGCAGAAATTCGGAGACCTCAGATTATGTAGTGTAAATTGGGATGTACTGAAGACATCCTTCTCTGTGAGCTCTCATTAGTGTCGGTACCACTACTTACTTGCGATGGAAAACTGTGTTGATGAGCTTTGATTGCTTCTGCTCAGATTAGTCCTATGATGGAAACATGATTTCACAGATGTCACTTCAGGTAGTGTACAATGTGGTAAGTTGAACAAGTTCGTTTTAAGTTAGGATTAATGTTGGTATAACCTCTTATTCTTTCAGGCAAGAACTGTGTTGATGAGCAAGCGTTGCAACAAATCTGGTTAAAACCATATCGGAAACATAATTTCAGACATGTCACATCAGGTACTGTACATTATTGTCAACTGAAGGAATCCATCTTTATGAGCTGTCATTAATGATGATAACATGTCTTATTTTACAGGGAACAACTATGCTGAGTCTTAATTGCTGCTTTTCAGGTTAATGCAATGATGGGAACATAAGTCACAGATTTCACATCAGGTACTGTACAGTGTGGTGAGCTGAATAAGTCATCTTTATAAATTGTCATTAATATTCTTATCACTCATTATTTATAGGTAACAATTGTGTTTATGAGACTTAATTGATGCCACTCAGTTTAATAGTATTTTTGAAACCTGAAATCAGAATTTTAATATCAGGTAGTGTACAGTGAGGTCAATTAAAGGCATCAATCCTTAGAGCTGTCATTAATACTGATACCACTTCTTATTTTACAATGAATAACTATATTGATGAGTCTTTATTGCTGCTACACAGGGTAAAATAAATATATATATATATGGAAAAAAGCATTCGGAAATTTCCATTTCAGGAATGTAGATACAACTTTTTCACATGAAAAGATAGTTCATAACTGAATTGCACCTGGACAGCATCTTCCTATGTTGAAACCGAGAAATTAGAGATTTCACATCAGGGCGTGTACAGTAGTCAATTACATATGTCCTCCTTTATAAGATATTATGAATGTTGGTATGATCTTTTTCTTCTAGAGGCTGCACCAGTGTTCATTATAATTCATGTGACCTCTTATTCTTACAGGCGACATCAGTGTTGATGAGCCTTCATTTCTCCCAGTCATGTTAACACAGTGTTGGAAGCGTGAATTCGGAGATTTCGCATGAGGTAGTGTATAATGTTGTATGTAGAACAAGTCATTGTAAGGTGCCATTATGATTGATGTGACCTTTTCTTCTTACAGGAAACATCAGTGTGGATGAGCCTTTGTTTCTTCCAGTTATGTTAATACAATATTTGGAACATGAATTTGAGAGATATCACATCAGGTATTATGCAATGTGGTAAGTAAAACAAGTAAAAACCCCAGCAATTCTGAGAACAAGACCTTGTTTATAATCTGTTCTTTTTATGACCTCCTGTTCTAATGGACAACGACTGTGTTTATGAGCCTTCATTTCTCTCAGTCTGGTTAATACACTGTTGGAAACAAGGATTCAGAGATTTCACATCAGATAGCATACAATATCTTATGTAGAAGATGTACTTGTTTATAAGCAATGCATGTTCTAGGAGGCTGTTACAAACCATTAGATATAGTGTGGGTGAGGAAACCTTTCCATGTTACAAGTATGTCTCAGGATATATCTGTAAGTTTAGGAATGGCGAGAAATAATCTGATGTTAGGACAGAGACTTTGAAGATTGCAATAGATCATTTTCAGCTGCCAGTGACATTTTAATTGTCAAGGAATGAGTCTGGCAGATAGGTCCTTCTGTTGTTCACACTCCAAAATATTTTTTGGAATTGTATCGAAGATATCAAGAACACTTGTTCAAAAGTATCTGAATACTCACCAGAATTGTCTAATGATAAGAAAGAAATTTTCTGCTATATGATCTTAACAAAATTATGCCCACACATACCAGTTCTCTAAAGGCCACTTAACAAAAACTTGGTTTCAAAAGTAAAGATTGGGAGAAATAAATGCGAAGCACCAAGGAGATAAACACAAGGCTCATTGGAATCTATTATTTAAATTGCACATAGCTCTGCCTCAGTGTTAAGCTCGTTGCTTTTATATCCTGATGTGCCATATACAGTCAACTCTCGATTATCCGGGGGCGGATTAACCGGTTTGCGGCTTAACCGTGGCTACTGGGGCTTTTTTGAGGCTTATATGTTGTTTAATATTCATTCACTTTTGTTTCACATGGTGAGTTGTAACACTATTTTCGCACTAGTGTGAACCGAGCTCTGCATTCTTTGGTCCCGTTATGCTAACACAATNCAGTTTTTTTTTCTGAAAACATATAATTTGAATTATAAAATTAATGCGTGGAAGCACCGAATTAATTGCTACATCAAATTTAAAAAAATTCTTTGCAATTATTGTGCTTTAGGTTCTGAAATGTGTAAAATTTCTGCAACATATATTGCTATTAGGTCACGTGTAACACTACTTGTTTTTTGTTTGTTATGAAGTGTTATTACTTGAATATACCCCTAGCAACACAAGATTTATTGCACAAGAAATCTGCAAGATGAAAGTAGACACTGTCACTTTAACACCCAGGATTCTTCATATCATAAGAAATCGTTTAAATGTAACCATTGGTCTGCAATGCTATTCGCTATATCCAACTGGAAGGGTGAGGATTACAAGAGCAGTGAAAGAGTGGGGTTGAGCTCTTGTTGAAGGTCACACCAACCAACCTTCCAGATGTCTTAACAAAACCAGGTGCTGGACATCTCCTGTTAGCTCATGAGCTTATGAGCATGGACACCATAACAAAAGGCACAGTAATGATATCCAGAAAGTAAATGCCTGAACATCAAAAGGGAGCTGATGAAAAAGGAGGAAAGGAATGTGATTTCATTCAGAGACAATGAGAAATTTGCTATATCATGGCAGGACCAACATTTTGGTGCAGTTATCAGTACTTTTCACACAAAATGCGGGAATGAAGTGGGGTAAGTGCCCTCTAATATCCGAACAAACCAGCAATAGTGAAGCTAAAGATCTCTGATTATGCTAAACATGCTGGAAGGGTCTACAGCAGTGCCTACTATACTCATATCTGTTTAAGAGGACAGTGAAAAGGTGATGCAGGAAGGGTGAGGCTTCTGGAAGCAAGTTCTAGCTTCGAGTATGTGTTGTTCCAGGAATGTTTCAGTAAGAGACTTTTAAGTTAGGTTTAGGAAGAGTGATGTAAAATCCCCTGTGCTTGAAAGGAAGACTGCTGTTGGAAGAATGGCAAAGGTTAACTGAGGCAGGCCATCAAGTGGCCAGCGTGTTTGGAGGTCGAATGAAGAGCCTCATTAGTGACAGGAAGGTGACACCGGAAAGAATGCGGTCATCTTCAGTTTGTGACAACCAGTACAGCTGCAACTGCTGATGAAGGCAGAATGTCATTCAGGGCAAGGAAATGTTTTCAGACTTACAGTTCTGTGAAATAAGTGAAATTTGTATTGAAAATCCCTGTGTTGTCTGACAGCAGTAACGGTTAGGTATATAAGTCTAGGGCATACAGTGATAAAATAGGAAATTGAGTTTATTTTCTTCAAAGCCACATGAGTAGTGAGTGAGTTGTATTCTACTCGCATCACATATGGTGTAAACCCACTTTCAGGATGTCAAGTCTAAATGGGCATGTGTCGTACGTCACCATTTGGCCCAAGAGCTCTCGAGTATGGTCATGGTAACAACATGCATAATAATGACATCCAGGGCTTCAAATGCCTGAAGATATTAAAAAGCAGCAAAGTGGGGGAAATGTGGCAAGGAAATTTCGTCATTCAGAAACAAGAAGATATTTTGTGTTGCATGGAGGAGCAGATGTTTGGTTATGGTGTTCAGTACTGTTCACATAGGAAGCACTAATAAGGTGACAGAAGGGAAGCCTTGAGTAAGGAACTAAAGTTGCCTCAATGAAAGCAAATGTGTAAGGTATGCAAAAAATGTGGGAGGAGTAAATCACAATGGCTAGTACATGACAACCTGTCAGTTTATGAGAGCACAGAGGCACAAGGAGTATTCATCTGGCTTGTGACAGCGAGTGTAGTGAATTCGTTCTTGCTGCCTGTTTTGATGCTGGAAGGATACGGAGACAGACTGCAACTGAGAAGTTAGGCGAAGTGTTGTTGAATCCCAAGTGCATTAAAGAAGTGTCATCAGTGTAGGCTGAGCAAGGCCGACTGTCCAGTGGCCCACGTGAAGAAAGGTTAAATGGTGAGCATCAGTTCAGTGACATGAAGGAAAGAGGTCAGTGGCCAGTGTGATGTGTAAAGGGAAGAAACTGTGTTGTAAGAAACATATTTTGCTGAGAGATGAAAGATTTTAATGGGATGGTAATGTTTTGCCATGTGCATTCAGAATTATAATTATGTGTCAGAATTCTGGTCCACAGTGAAGATAAAATTGGTGGCCTTTATTGAACTGCTACTTTGTGTGTTCACAGGGCTGGTGTGTGTCATTCCTTTGGATCTAGAAGGAACATCATGATGCTGATGGATTATCAGGTGGTAAATTTATAGCAGAATATTCATTGAAACATTTAAAAATGTCAGGGTTTCAAACCCAGCTCCTGACCTACACAAGTAACTGTGCAAATGAGTATTATGCTGTGTGGAGATTGATAATATCTTAAATACAATAGTGAAACTATGTAATATTAACATATATTAGCTTTTACCTAGTAATTTTATTGTTTGTTATAGACTGTGGCGAAATGATGGTGCAGCAGCGTCTTGTTTGAAAATGAGCTGTCTCTCCACATCCACATGAGGGGCTGAAGTGATTGGTGGTCTTCCATGTTCATTGGACAAATACATAGGAAGATCTTACAGAGTTAATAGAAACTTAAGGGGGAAGATGATTGTTTTTCAGAGGCTTATAAAGAGATGATCCAAGACCTGAGAGGAAACAATGTGCAGGGAACTGAAATACAATGAAACCTCCATTCAGTGCTCTTTGAAGCGAGATTAACCTCGGGTAACATTCGGTTTTGCTGACATGTCAGTAACTTCATTGTTAAATTACATGCATACAAGAATCCACTTCTTGGCAACAAGACCTTGAATAGGAGATTCACTGTATGCAGACCTGCATCTGTATGCCACTGTAACCATCACCAATCACAGAAACATGCCTCCCTGTTCACAGTCATGTATCACGGGAAGTCTGGATGAGGATTTCCAGCACTGGAAGAAGTGCAGCAGTTGTGTAAGAGGTTCATCTGCCAGCGCTACAGATGGTGCGATGGGTAAACTAACACATCTTTCTCTGCCACAAGATACCGGTCTTGCAACTAGCCTTAAAAATGTATGTCTTATAAATATAGATTAATATCACTTTAGTTATCATTGTTATGATGCTTGGAGTGTGAGTTGGTCTAAATGAATGACAGATTTCAGCCTAGTGCAATATGTCAGTATTGAGGGCAGAAGTATATGCCATTAACCCTGTGTGGGCCAAGTTTTCGGACAGCTTCAGACAAAATAAAACTTAAAGGATGTATATGTACACCTGTAACTTAATCTAGCTAAATCATAACAGAATGTACTCTAACTTAATGTAAACTTCCTAATCTAACTTCTAACGGAAACTAACAAAACTAACCTGAGCTAACATGTTGAGGAACATAATGTACGTCCATAGAACAGAAAGGGTCAAGGTGTGTATACTTACTGCCATAAGCTTTATGAATTTAGCTTATTGGTTTATATGAGGTTCACTCTGCACTCTACCTCACCATCCATAGGAGTCACACAGTGAGCATTTCTTTTGCTAGAGTCAAGGTCTGTGTAATGTAATAGAAGTGGTCCCATTTTAGGAGAACAGATTGGATATAGACCTGACATGTTGAAAAAGATGTATTGGCACCAATTATGTGGTGCTGTGGATACTGATAAGGGCATCTTATAGTGATTATTACTGTGCTGAAGGAGGGGTTGTATGCTTTGATGTTACGATATGTTAAGTGTAATGCCAAAACTTGTACTTGAGATTGTATTGCTTATTTTGATGTATATGTGGCTTGCTGGCTGGCTATCATTGTTTGATAGGTCTTGTAAAGTGCTATGTACTTGTATGTGGATTCTAATTTTGTTATTGCTGTTTGGAAAATATTTCAACATACCTGTAGACAGAAATATGTTTGTCGCCAAATGACATAATGGGATGTAGATGTAGATCACTGGACAGACTATATTGCACTCACATCTCTGT